AACGGCCCTGGGCATCGCCGTCATGAGCGTCACCTCCACCACACTGGAGGACGTGTACCTCAAGTACGGGGAGACGTTGCGCGAACATTGAGCAGACAGGACGGGTTCAAATGAATACCGCTAAAGGGGTGTCCAAACAGGACACTACGAAACGCACGACTCCGACAAATCGTGAAAATTGAAGCGGGCACGAAGCGGGCGCGTCCGCTTCAATTTTTACGATTTGTCGGAGTCGTGCGTTTTGTAGTGTCCTGTTTGGACACCCCTTAAGAAGACTAGGCATGCGCGTGACGTCGTCGTTGGTGGATCTCCGACCCGACCCCAAGCGGCAAACACGCTCAAGCTCCACAAGAGTCGAAGCAAAGGGGCAGAGGCCCTTGTCTTGGCGCCGCCGCGTGCCATAGCTTCACGTTCGTTGTGAGACGCTGCGAAACGCGCTGGCGGCGACACTGAAGCAAGGTAGGCGACGCTGCGCCGACCCACTAGCGATGACGTCTACCGGGGAAAGGCGCAGGCCTTGTCTTGTAGCGGCTATCCGGAGAGCAAGTCTTCTGCTTCTTGCGCAAGAGTTGTGGTGACGTCAGATAGGCGCCGAGCTCTGATTGGCTCCGATTGAAAGGACAGCGGGTAGACATCAAAGCAATCTGCCTTGAGGTCTAACCACTATCCTTCATTCGGAACAAACCAGAGCTCGGCGTTCTGACGACACCGCATATGCCCTGCAAAAGAAGCAGACGAACTGCCGCTTCGCATTGGTCAAATACGCTTGATGCGTGGAGATGTTCGAACCTTAGAACGGATATATGGACGGCGCTGTGGCTTATCTAGCGCGTCCCGTGTGCCAGTTTGATATACAGAGGAAGAGGAGGCAGCATTGGGCAAGAAATTAGACAGACGCGCCCCTAGCGGTTTTTTTCAGCTCGGAGGACAAAATACAAAAGTTATTCGTCTTGTTGCCGCCGCAGCATGACGACGGACCTCGTGTTTTAATCAGCGAATTAGGAACCATTGAACTTAATTTCCGGCACCCAATGCTGACGCAGCAATCCTGTCCAATTAGTGCCGCACGCTCGATAGAGTTCGGTGGCGTATAACTCCAGTGCAACACAGGCGTTGGGTAAGCACCGGGCTTTGCGGACAAGCGGCAGAAAGCGTTCTCTACGTGGCGCATTCACCCCTGAGCTGACAGAGCGGTGGAAGCTACGGACTCGTTGCCTCGGTCATCCGTCTATCTTTCACCACTTAATCACGCTGCACCCATGCGTGTTTTTTTTTTTTTTTTGCATAATTACGAGATTTGTAAATACGAAGACATGAGTTTTTACAATAATGCTTGGTGAAGGCTAAGCACGCAGAACTGGAATGACATTGCGCTTCCCACAAAACTTGTCCTTCCGTTGGGAGGGATTAGAACTTCACGCTGCTGCCACTTTGTCCGAACACCAAAAAAATCACCAATTCTTTCTCGTAATTAATGACTAATTAATGAAAATGTTAATTAATTACTTGTTGGCGTTTTTGCTCGTGAACAGCTGAAGCGTTGGTAACGATGCACAAACTTTTGTTCACTGTTTGCATAAAATTCAGAAACCGATGACAGTCGTGGTCCGTTTCAAGTAACTGATTAAATGTTTACTGTGACCACCCACCTCTATCTTGATTTTAGACATCCGCCTTGTTCTCTTTCAGGATGGTTGGGATCCCCGACTTCAAGGGCGCCGGGCAGGAATTCAAAACTTTACCGACCCTTGCAGAATATGAGGCGAGCATGGAACGGCAAGGTTGGTCGAAGGAAACGCTAAAGAAATTTTGTTGGGCGACAATACTTTTAATGCAGCTGATCTTAGACGACCACTGCCGCGCCTACACGGTTTTCAAGGATAGAGCTCGTTCAACGTGTAACAATCCTATTAGGATTGATATTTTCTCTTCTTTCACTACGCTTTAATGCTTAACCAAATTTTACACAGCGCGTAGTAGTGCCGACGTGCAGATCTACACGATACGTGAAGTACAATGTTTGGCTTTGAGGCGAGATATCATGAACTCATAGACCTCTGAAAACGTCGGCATTTGACAGTTTTATAGTCGACTTGATCGCGATGAAAAATGTCTACGCACATCACGATTACGCTTCATGAAACTAGCTTCTAAACTTTAAGTGCTGTTTTATTTTACTCTTCCGACTGCTCCAATCGATTTCATCAAAATGCATGCTAAAATTTCGCATGAAGACGCAATTCAATTGTTTGCCTATACATGTGCACAAATTTTCATCATACACCTTGCTGGATTGTTTCCTCGGCTCTGAACCTTGGTAAACCGTGATTTGCATTCATCCGCCAAGGTGTTATGATAAAGATTAGTTGTAATCCTGGACATGTATTTTTTTACAGCGCAGTTATTATGGGCTAGTTTCCCTAGTTTCGTGTCCGGTACCATACGAATGTCGACACAAAACTACACAAAACTCTGGACAGCTACCGCCATCAATGAGCGACGCCAGCAACCAGACAACTAGTCTGTTTGCCGCCGTCGCTCATAGATGGCGGCAACTTCTCCAGCTATCATAGAAGAATGTATAGTGGGGCAAGTTGCTAGGCATTCATCGTAGGAAACAGCGCGCAAAACAGACGTGGCCGAAGAAGTAACACACGGGACGAGCGTACAGCTTCACTGGCCTTTCTTCTTCACCAGAGTAGAAAGGCTGAACGGTTTTTTTTTATTTCTTTTTGTTTTTTTTACAGGATACCGTTCATAACGTTTATTTAGAAAATCATTGCTAATGAATGTTTTATAACAGAATAATGATAAAAAACGACTCAGCCGACAAACCTCTCTAGATTTCTTTGAAGCTCGTGTGAATAGAAGTATGCTTTTGCCATAAAATGATAGCGCTCCCTGTAGATTATTTCTGAACACTTATAATAATAATAAAAAAAAACTGACTTTACACGAGTTTTTTAATATTTTTTTTTTTTACTAAGACGACACAAATGCAAAGCTACAAAGCTACCGCTGCAAAGAAGTCATTCAATATGACCATCAACCAACTCGCCCAACTTTACATCTTGTGGCGGAGAAGTCTCAGAAATAAGGGTTTAATTTTTTTTTTGGTCACCAAGTATAACAAGATTAAACGGCAATACCGTTTTGTTTGTATATTTTTGACCGCACTAGAATGTTTTTAGGCGGACTACTTTTCAGAACGGAATCAGTTTTTTTTTAAGGTAGTTTTTTCTTTCAAGCTTTCTTGTTTTAGTTCTCCTTAGGGTAAGATGGCGTATAACAGAAGGAAAATACAGGACAAGCTTTGCACGGTGTATGTTCATGTACGTGATTTTTAAATACTGGACCAATCATGTACGGGGGAGGCCTAGAGACTTGCACCTTTGACGCTCTTTGATTGGTTTCATTACCTCGTTGCATCGGCTACTTTTGGATTTAGGCTGGAATGAAAATTTCCACGCAGAACTAGAAGCCCTTCGGCAGCTCTGCACCGCAAGAACAAGCAGTCCAAGCACAATGAGCGTGCTGGGGACTCTCCTGGACAAGCGTTTTCATATTTGGACGCGAATCTGGTGGTTCAAGTCGCTCTCCCTGCTGCTCCCACTTCTGACATTGATCCTTCTGGGGCTAACAATACGCCTGGTCAGGTTCGAGTCGCGGCCCTACCAGCGCAACGTCACTTACAATGCAGCCGCGGTGTTCGACAGATCGTACGGATTTGTGGGAGGGGACGGCTCGCAGAACCATTTTCTCAGCGACTTCATGCGCCCGGTTCTGGTGGAGAACGGTGTTAACCTGCTCGTCGTTAACGGCACCTCCATGGAGCGTGAGCTTCTGCTGATGGCTGACGAAGATATTAATGTCTACATCTTCGAATACCTGTACGGGGTCAGCCTTCACAAGAACGACAGGTGAGCTTTGATGTTGTTGGCATCGGGCTGTGTCTACGGGGCACTAATTTTATGACACGAAGAGAAGCTCGAGCACGTATCTACACAGCTTAGTAAACTTATATATAATCGGATACATACTGTTTTGTTAAGACGCATTATCTACAGTCGGCATATGAATTCTTTAAACAATTTTAGAACAAGCGATCGCCAGCCTGAGTGGAAAGACCATTAAACGTAGCGCCACAGTCTTCAGTGGACTCTTGTAGTCCACGCAAGATGTAGCCCATGCCCCTCAAACAAAAAATGGAGTACATCGGTGAATAAAAACACTGAACTCGTAGGAGCGAATACGTGACGAAGAATCGACGAACTTCACCCTGCTTCACGATTCCTTTGCACGTGGCTCAACATCAGATGCCATGCGCAGATCAAGAGCCCACCTGGCAAAACTCTTCGCTTTTTTTCACTCCATGGGGTCCAGCGTCTAAGCACTAATTTTTGAGCGCTTAGAATTTCCTGACCCGGCTTGCTATGGGAACAAAGCTTTAGCTAAGACTATCAGAAAGACAGCCCTGCCAAATTGAGACTTCAGCGCCTGCGCGCGCAAGTCTCGGCAGCTTGCTTTCATACAGTCTTAAATCGCCGTTTCTAGGAAGTCCGCCCAGGATACAATAGATGCAAGTGGGCGCAAGAAACAGCCCTCTCGCTCTAATAAGTCCCGCATCTTAAGCACAAAAAAGGAATCGTTCCGTAGTGAACCCAGACAGAAATCAAATTATTTATTAGGTCATTCCGTAACCGGACTCAATGAACCCTGCATTCGTTCCTTCCAGGGTGTTCCTTTGGTACAACGGCCAGTGCCCCCATAGCGGCCCCCTGGTGGTCAACATGTACCACACGGCACTCCTCCGCAGCTTGTCCGGCGAAAGCCGGTCTACGATCACCTTGGTAAACTCTCCCGTGCTCGACGATGACTCCGTCCAGCGGGCCATCTTCGAAAGCCAGCACGGCAAGCTGGCCTCGGATCAGATCGGCGACACGTTCTTCAGGCAGAACACCTTGTCCCGAGCACTCAACTCGTTCTTCGTGTCCCTGGCGATGGGCTTCTACTCGGCCTGTCATCTTGTGGAGCCGATCGGCGAGCGGCTGAGCGGCTTCAAGCACCTGCAGTTGATGACGGGGATGTCTGGTTCGCTCTACTGGATCGGCCACCTGCTCTTCGACGGCGCCGGAGCCATGGTCAGCTCGTGCGTCTTCATGGTGGCATTTATTTTCAGTCATGACACGCTTTCCGGGACGTACTGGGGTGAGTAAGCAGACAATTTTTGAGCGGTGAATTAAATTGATTGACCAGGACGCCTGGCCTAAGATTGTGATGGGGACTTCTATGCCGAATCGGGACCTCTATGTCGAGTCTTCCATTGTCCTTCATTGAGTAGAGCGTACATGATGACAGGACTGTACACCCACCGGCAATATGAAGGTGAACATGTTACCTAATTTCTTGCCTGTTTTACGGCTCCCTAAAGCTATATTGACTCTCAGCGTCTCAAGTGGTACGTGGCCAAGGGTCTAAACTTTGCGTTTTAGCCCTCTTCTACAACAGAGCTTGTTCCGAAACTTGCAGGAGCGTCACAAACAAGAAGAGGGCAGTTCACCTTCATATCGCTCACGGGTGTGCACTTGTTGCCTGATGGCGCACACTGATATGAAACATTGACACTATCATTGCATATACACTAGATGAGGAGAAAAGGGGGGAGGTGGGGGTTGCAGAGCGTAAGGTTTTGGGCATTTTGACGTGTAAAGTTTTTCATGCTTGTAGTTTTTGTCTTGTGTATTATCATTTTTTGCCGTCAATTAAATGCCATAAGCTTGATATTTATTAAACAAATATCGTAGCCTTTTTTATATTTTTGTTTGTCTAGTTTGAATGCGCTAGAAAGACAGCGTAATGAGCTGAAAGAAGTGATCGCAATTTTTTTGCATTTAATCTTGCACCCCAAGACGGTTCTTATGGCAACCAGTTGTGTTGCGCATTCTGGTCGTGCGTGGCACCGTCTTCGGTTGTAAAATTTAGATTTCTGGTAGTTAGCGCTATGGTTTTTGTTGTGGAGGATTTGTTTTTTTATAGAGCGCCAATGCCGTACTAGGAATAATTGCTTATCGCGTTGCGCGTACGATGGCCTTCTATCTTCGTTCCGAAACGCCGCCTCCGTGACCCCGACCTGCGATGGCGTTGTTACCATACAATCACAGCCTACTGCGATTCATAAATAGAAGTTAAGGGCCCTTCGACGAATGGTTCAGGTTGCAGCTGTGGTCACTGGCAGAATAAGAACGGCAGGATGTCTCTTTTGAATGCCCGGCCCACAACAGGCGCTCGTTGCCCTCCACCGTGCTTCGCGTGCACACTCGAGGCTCGCCAAAAGCCTTGTCGAAGCTAGAAAGCAGGAGCTGGAGGCAACGGAAGGACCTGTCGTTCTAATCCTGCCAGTGACTATATATAGTCGATCTAATCTTTTGCAATAGTATGTATTTTCGGAATCAGCAATGTTTGTTTCCGCACGACGCGATGCATGTCAGCATGTAGCGCAATGTATATGGATTATAAATATGGCATACTATAACTAAGAATCCGGAAGCGCTCAATGGCCTTGAAAGACTTTGGATCGTTAAAACCAAAGCAATCGATCAATGAATGTGACCGGAACTTGGTGTATAACGCATAGGACGCTAAAAGGACGCCTCACATACAAGCAAACAAACAACCAAAGAAGCACGCGCACACAAACTCAAAATACACGAATGTTAACCGTATTTTCGTTCCCAGCGGCCATGTGGCTTCTGATGCTCGCCTACTGCTTCGCCATGTTGCCACTCATCTACCTGTGCACGATGATGTTCTCGGAGTCGGACAGAGCCTACTTTGTCCTGGCACTGACCTTCATGCTCGCTGGTACGAACAGGGAGCGGCAACTTCGCATATCTTTCTTTTTCCTGTTTTGTTTGTCTGTTTGTTTTGCTAATTGTATGAGGGCCAAAGCCCTTCCAAAGAAAACGTGCTTTTACGCTTTTAATAAGGTTATGTTGGTTACGCGCGCATATCCTTCATAAACTTCCTCGGTTAACTCGAGACGTTGATTTACGGTGTCTTACTAATCAGTGCTCAAGTTTTCCTCTCTTTTTTTCATTGTTCGTAGGGTGACAGTTTGATGCCAGTTTGAGTTACCGGTATTTCTTTGTGGTAATAGTGATGTTTGTTCGTTTCTCTTCCGTGAGGATTGCGTCGGTGATGATGTTCAGAGGCAGAGGCGGCGGGTCGTCGGATCGTAGAGGTGACGGATTTCAAGACGGGACTCAACAGTCGATGATGAAAAGAATGAATATATTTACAAGACAGAACAGTTGAAAGTTGCAAGACGCTTTCCATGGACCAAGCAGCCCTTCGGCCCCTTCTTCGGTCACTTATATAAGTTTCCTCCACTCTCCCGCATGCTCAACGACCAATCCCAAAAGGTCTTCTCGCAGCCAATCCGGGAGAACACTCTAAACAACAAAAACACTCCAAAAAGACTCACACAAAAACACTCGCCCTCGCGCACACACAGACGTCGGGCGCACCGCGGTCTCCGTCAACGACGGGAAAGTCAAACCCCCGGGCCGCGAACCCGACTCCCGAAGGCACCACCAAGAAACCCTTGGTCAGTGGCTCTTCACATTTGGGAAGGGAACGCCAAACAAAACACAAACACAAAAAGTACTTAGCGCGTCGGAAGCACAGCCGCCCGAGCCGTCTCTGTCCGAGGTTACGAACGGGCGCACATTCCGAAGTGCGGGGGACCCGTCCCGCTGTCGTCCCCACTCCCATTAACAAGTCGCCGACGACATGGCGCGGGGAGAAACACAACAGATAACGAACCCACGCGGGATCCGCTTCTTGGAATCCCCCGCGCCTGCTGGTGTGCTCGGGAAACTTCACAGTAATATATTTTTGTTATTGCTTTGTTTGTTATTTTTGTTACACCACACTGCATTCCTGTAGTTGCCTTGACCGGCAAATGAACCAATAAATAAAATAAAACAAAGATTTTAACGAGCCGAGCAGGAGGCGCCCAACTTGTGATTAAGCAGCTTCCGATGACAATCTCTTCGCAGGCATCGTGGGATCTCTGACTGTGGAACTGTTCGACCTGTTGGCCGCGTACGCGCCGTCGTTCCTTATGACGGTGGCGATCGTGTGCTTGGGGTTTCTGTGCCGCTGGTTCCCCACGTACTCCTTCTCGCGAGGCATCGTGAAGCTGGTCCTGCTGGCCAGGTACAACGCCGTCTGCACCACGGGCGGGGAACTGCTCAAGGCTGCCTGCAGTGACGGCGCCCTCTCCACCGACGACAGGATCATGCCCTGCTGCGAAGGTGCCTAGCCCATATCGCTGACTCGAGAGAGTTCACTATACGATAAATGCCGGCTTCCTCAACATGTCTTTTTTACAGCGATAGCCATTATGGGTTGTTCCTCTAAATCGCAATCGCGATGTAGGGCTTCCGTCACGGTGTCGCGTCTTAAGCATCGCGTCACACAGGGACGTCACTTTACCAGGTGACGTCTTGAAGTCACGTGATGTCATGATAGTACGTGACAGGTTGTCACGTTACTTTACGGCGTCACACCATGCCCGCTAGGGGGCTTCTCTGTGTATGACAAAAATGAATGCGCCACTCTTTGAGGAGACATTCACGATGGTTCTTCCAGGAAGGGGGGCAAGATACATAACTGCATTGAACAAACCTAGGAGGAAAAAGATGAACCAGTCTTGTGTTAATTCACATTACAGTACCGCACGATACAAAATACAGCCACAGCGATAACTGTGACAAGTCACAGTGAAGTCGTTGGGCATCGGGATCTCCTTCACGCACTGTGAAATGTGCGAACAAAAGTGTTCGGAATAAAAAAAAGACCTGTGACCATTTCGTTACGAGGGCTTTTGTGTCTTTCTTTTTATTCCAGAGCGTGTGAAAGTGCGTTTTCCGGCACGAGCTCTTGGCATTAACAGCGCCACAACGGCATTTTATTAGCGGCTTTTAGTTTTAGAGAGCGCGTGCAGAGGCCCTCGGGTGGTGTAGCTCAGGGGTAACACCTCCGCTCAGCACGCAGCAGACCCAGGCTTGATTGCCGAGGTCGGCGGGCGATCTTCTACAAGGATTTGACGGCATCAAGGACGGACGCTCTACATTGCCAACTACAACAACAATGGACGTCCTTTTCAGTGCTGGGAAGAGCGCATAACAGCTATTACTGTAAAACAAGTACTTGCGGATGAAAATATCAAACATCACTGCCTTCGATGCATAGTTTGAATCATCTGTGGCGATCATGAATTCAAGAGGGAAACGTTTTGAGACCTGCCTGGTTCCGAAACGATTCCCTCGTGGGGAAGACAGGCCTTGTCTTCGTGTGGTATATTGAACTGAAGCGGGTATTCTCCTCTCCGCTCAGCCTTGCAGAAGAACGGCAGCGCAGAACTGCTCCAGCCGCTAGGGCCCGGCTACGAGACCGGTTTCTTTGAGGCCATCACGCTCGTCGCTGAGGGCCTTTTTTACCTGGGAGTCTTGTTCCTGACCGACTCTCAGCTCCTGCACGGTATGGTCTGGCACCTGAACCGGAAACTGCTGGGAACGAGTGACGACGACAACAACGGCGACAGAGGGCCGCGCCTGGTGGTGGCGTCCATGGACCCGGAGGTGGAGAGGGAGCAGAAGCAGGTCGAGAAGATCTTTAAGCTCAGGGAGTTCAAGGACGTCATCATGGTTGTGAGGGGCCTGACCAAGTCGTTTGGATGCATGGGCAAGGTGAGTGGCTGCCGCGTTTTTGAACTGTCCCATGCGTTTCCTTCCGCTCGAAACAGATGAACGAGAATAACCGCGATTAAGTAGTGACAACTAGAAGACAACGCCTCACGGGTACGCCTTGTTTTATGGATCCTCGAACTTACCCAAGCGGCAAACACGCTGCAGCTTGACGAGACTCGCCGAAAAGTGGCAGACGCGTCCGCGTCGCCGCGTCGCTCGTCGTGTGAGACCCTATGTGACCCACTGGCGGCAATGCAGACGCGATTCAGGCGACGCTGCGTGATTCCAGTGGTGGCGACGTTTTGGAGGAAAGACGCATGCCTTGTCTTCTAGGTGGCATCGGTCAACCACACGATAACGTTCCATATCCGCCATTCCACCACCGGAGCGCATCAAGGATTTGTTATGCCCTTGGTACACGGGCACCATTAACCGCGGTTAAGTGTGATTGAGAGTTAACCAAAGTTAACGGTGCCCGTGTAGCTGAAGTATAGTTGCCAGGAAGGATGCCCCTGTGGCATCCTTAATTACAGTTAAGTGTGACCTCAGTTGTGGTTAACTGCGGTTCAGGGTGCGAGCTGCTAAACCATTCTTAAGCCTAACTGCAGTTTAGGATGCCCATGTAGTCACCCTTGACCAGATTTAGATATCCGTGTGAGTAGGGTATTACGTGCGTCTAACGCGAGAAAGGGACGCTGGCCGCATTCCGCAGAAGGGCCTCGAGAAGACCAGCTTCCTCTTGCGCACAAACGAGTGCCTGGGCATGGCGGGCCTGAACGGTTCTGGCAAGAGCGTCCTGATGAAGCTCCTGGCGGGCGACCTGACGGCCACGGGGGGCAACGCGTATATGGCCGGACTCACACTCAGCGGGAACCTTCGCCGTTGGCAGATGGCCATCGGTTACTCGTGCGACGGCCGCCTCGGGCTCGTACCCGTGCTCACCGGGGCCGAGATGCTCGACCTGGTGGCCAGGCTTCGGGGCATCTCTCCGGTCGCCAACCGCCGACTCGTCGTCTCCAGCACGCTCCTGCTGCTCAGCCCACTTCAGGGGGACAAGCTCTGTGGCGACTACACGTAAGGCACATGGCCAGACTTGCACGTGACGCGTTGCAAGTAGGGTGTTACTTGTACCTTGTTACTTTTTTTTTAAACTAACGGCATAAAGACTTGTTTACTTTTTGAGAAATGATACATAGTAACGTATTTTTTCTGCTTTTAATGGATTAACGAGTAACAGTATTTAGTCACTTCTGGAAGAGAATGTGTACAGCACAAGTGCCGAACGTAGTTCTCACCCGAGTTCGCGCCTGTAAATTGCACAACGAGAAAACGCCAGATAAACCATAAATAGAGGGCCACAGGACGTGCCAGCGTGCCCACTGTTATTAGAGCGCAGCTCTTAGGGGCCCGTTTCCGGCTTGAGCGGCGTCGCCGTCGGCGTAACCGCGCGGTGCATCATGGGAAATGTCCCATAATGCACCGCGCGAGCCCCCCACCGGGGTCACGTGACCTCGTGGGGGCACGTGACCCCCCCGAGGTCACGTCACCCCGGTGCATCATGGGAAATGTCCCATAATGCACCGCGCGAGCCCCCCACCGGGGTCACGTGACCTCGTGGGGGGCACGTGACCCCCCGAGGTCACGTGACCCCCCGAAGTCACGTGACTCCCCTGAGGTCACGTGACCCCCGCCGATGTCGCGTGACCCCCAATGACGTCATCATCACTGATGCCGTCACCGGCATCCACATCGTCATCGTCATCATCACTGATGACGTCACCGGCATCCGCATCGTCATCGTCATCATCACTGATGACGTCACCGGCATCCGCATCGTCATCGTCATCATCACTGATGACGTCATCAGTGACGTCACTGATGTCGTCACCGGCATCCACATCGTCATCGTCATCGTCACTGATGACGTCACCGGCATCCGCATCGTCATCGTCATCATCACTGACGACATCACCGGCATCCGCATCGTCATCGTCATCATCACTGATGACGTTACCGACATCCGCATCGTCATCGTCATCACTGATGACGTCATCAGCGACGTCACTGATGACGTCACGACATTCGCATCGTCATCGTCATCATCACTGGTGAAGTCATCAGTGACGTCACTAATGACGTCATCGGTACCCGCATCGTGATCGTCAATGATGACGTCATCAGTGACCTCAGTGATGACATCATCGGCATTGGGGGTCACGTGACCCCCCAAGGTCACGTGACCCCCTTGGTTAGTTTAGCCCCCCCCCCAGTGCCCTTCCCTCCTCCTCCTCAAGAGCTGCGCTCTAATTCGGCGTTACAGGGAGTTGTAAGCAGCTTTCACTTTTTTTAATTGAACTCTGTGAAAAACATTTAACTACAACAAATACCGGAACCAGCTGCCGCTTCATTAAGAGGGCAGATTCAGAGTAAAAACAAAATAACACGTTACGTTCAAGGTGAACTCACGTGTTTTTTTTTCTTGTTTTCTAACGTAGCATGTAACTTACTTAGTTACTTTTTAAGTGAGCAACGACCAAAGAAATTTAGTTAGTCTATTTAGGTAACGTGGGCGCGTCTGATTCCAGACATTACCTTTCCAAATGCGCGAAAGAATACACATATGTTATTTTTAAGGTTAACGGCATGTCTTTATGATTATGTTTCCTCTGACCGTGTCATTGAATCCACTACTTTCCCAGATGTACTCCATTTGCTACCCGTATGGCTTACAGGGCCATACGGCCCTGTAGGCCATACGGCCCTGTAGGTCATACGGCCCTGTAGGTCATACAACCCTGTAGGCCATACGGCCCTGTAGGCCATAATTTCTGCACCAAAACTATCGTTTTGGTGCAGAAATTATCCCCAGTCTTTGAGCGCTTAAGGTAGACAGGGCGGGGCTTATGAACCTTATAACTTCGTCAATCGTTGCTGGGCGTTTTCGATGTGCTAAGCCAGCAATCTCGTTGGCTGTGCAGCGACCTAACGGTGCTCTCTAGTCACCAAAACCAGCGTTTCAGCGTTTTTTTTTTTTTGAAGCCGTCAGTGAAAATAATAACACCCGGTGGCTAATATACTCCGTTTCACGCTAAGTCCTACCGCTGTTTTAACGTTACGGTCATATACACCAATACAGTGTTTACAACACGATCGAGGCCGCTTTGCCCACAACAGTTGTGGGCACTGCGCGTGCGCAGAAACCAAATTCGGGAGGAGTGATGCGTCTGCGTATGTGCAGTAACGTCAGCAGCGCCACCGCATCTGCGTGACGTCAGTGAGTTGAGTTGGTCTATAGGGAGCCAACCTGGAAGCGTCAAAGGTGCATCACCACTGCTCTCGTTATCTTCGTGCGTTTTACATCATCGGCTTAATGACTCACACAGAGAAAAAAATATCTCAGGATCGCAGCACATTTACTGTACGTGACCGGCGTACTGTCGTGTATCCCTACTGCGTTATGGACTCGCGTTAAAGACCCCAGCCTCGCGGTTGTACTGTACGGGCTAAATTTCTCCCAAACAACTGGGAGACTCGTCGTCCGTTGCGGCAGGCCAAGTTCTAGGCTGCATAAACATACAAACCATTTCTTTTACTGTACGTGGTTGGTGTAGTCCGTGCCAACAAACGGACAAAGACGGCGAGCGCCAGGACGCTACACTTTTTGTCGCTGCTTCATCGACACCATCGGTTCGTTTACCGTTGCCGGCGGTCGGAGTTGGCGTGAAACAGCACATAGCGATATCTGAACGAACGCCATCGCTTCGTCGAATAGTCACCTTGCCGGCCAGTACTCATTGTTCTTTTCTTGCAATGAACTTCTCCGTTGGCAGAGTGACGGAACAGAAGCTGCTCTCTCTGGGCATCGCCATAGTCGGCGTTCCCCCGATCCTTTTGCTGGACGAGCCGTACTCCGACGTGGAGCCATTTTTCCGCCACCAGATTGTGCGGTTCCTGCAAATATTGAAGAGCGTCCGGGCCACGACCATGGTCATCAGCGCTCATAGGTAAGTGCTCACGGGCCACGAACACCCGGTCAGGCTCTGAAGACGTCGTACAAACGGAGGTCTGCGGACACTGTCCCGATTGCGTGTCTTCTGTGCTTTACTAATCCTGTCACGTTGGTGATACAGCAACTGTCTGTAGTCGTGTTAGAAGCATGCACATATCTGTGCGAAGCATAGGTGCCTCGAAAACGCTCGATGCGTGTCCAAAGATGCCTCTGTCCTCTTTTCTGCAGCGAACATCGTGTCGTTTGTATGAAGTGTCAGCAGTGCTACCGCTGATTATTGTTGTCACCCTGAGCGGGACATTGAGGCGTCCTATAGTAAGGCCTGGTGAGGCGACAAAGTGTGACGTGGCTCGCAGGCTGTCCCATTGCGAGGAGCTGTGTGACCGGGCCATCGTCCTGGAAGACTGCAAGATCGAGACTATGGGAGACTACGACCAGATGAACCACAAGTTCGGTCGTTGCTACATGATCAAGATGAGGCTGCCCGCCGACCGCCGGGCCGACAGGGGCCTCCAGCGGGAGCTCATCGAGCTCATGCAGGAAGAGTTTCACCAGTGCGCGCCTTGCTACAGTTACAAGGTACCCGTTCGTCCTTAACTGCATAATTGAAAACGTTTTTATTTATTTTTACTGAAGGGAAATTAAAACCCTTTGCTCTGAATTTTGTGTCCTCCACTGAGGAGTGGTTTAAAGGTCACGGGGAAGGGATTGAATCAGGAATTGGGTGAATGGACAAGGAAAAAGTGATGGCTGACGTTGTGCTGGGGTGTCCTTTCTTGCGTCCTCCGCTCGAGGAGAGGTAAGGGTTGACGAGGGAGGGGTTGGGTCAGGAATTGGGTGAGAGGACAAGGAGGATGGGATGACAAGCTGCTGGAGTTATGGGGTGTCCTTTCCTACTGCCTCTGCTAAAGGAGGGGTCAGGGGCCATGGGGGAGGGGTTAAGCCATGAATTTGGTAAAGGGACAGCGAGTCGGTGGTGGCAGGCCGCTGGGGTCGTGGGGTGTCCTTTATTCGCAGCCCCAAGAGAAGTTGAGATTGTTGTTGCTAATGTTTCATCTCAACCGTAAAAGTTCGACTAAAAAAAAATTAAAGAATTCACTGGTGGATCCTTAGGAAATTTGTTTCCTCGAGAAACGCCACACACATCCTCCTTTGGGAAACGCTAACGCTGATTCTTCACTTTTCTGTCTTGGATTTCTCTTTTGGTTTTCTCTTTTGTTTCGTCTATTTTTGCTGCCTATTTTTAGCTTCGTTACGGGATCAGTGTTATCTTTTCCAAAGGTGAATGTGTGCGGCGTTTCCGGAGGGTCATGCTAACGCATCCAATAATGATCCACCAATGAATCTTCCTTTAATTTTTGTAGCACGAACCAAGGCATACGCGCTCGGCACACCTGAAAGTTCAGACTCGCCCCAGCATCTGCGCGCGCATCGGCTTCTGCCCCGTGACGTCGCCTCCCTCTCGCCTTTGTCCTTCTCTAATCTCCTCCACTCCACGCGGCGCGCCTCCCTTTCCACTGTTTTGTCCACAGAAGGACGCCGTCAGCTTTTCCCTGTCATGTGGGTACTAATGCGAACGCATGAAAAAAAAAATGCCATACTGGTGTTGGGAAGGGGGGCGGACTTCTAAGGTTCCAGTGAGTTAGACTCTGCCCTTCTACTCAAATTCCTTCAGTCATTAAGTAGCAGGCTTCACTATTGTGGACGCCAAAAAAATCAACGCCACCTAGCGGCTAGAGTATACAACCCTGGTGGCGGTTCCGCTCGCCGGTCTTCTGGCGCATATCAGTTATTTACAGCACCTGGCAGTCTAAAGAAAAGAAGCCGTGAAATATAGCTTCCAAAGCACGCGACGAAAGTCACCAATAGTCGCCGACAACTTATGCAACGCGGGGCGTGGCAAGGTCCGAGCATCGCATCATCGCACGGCCGGCAGCCAATGAGGCTGCGGCATGAGCCAATATAAGAATGTCGAGCAACCAATTACCACGAAGCGAGAAGTGTGAACGCCGTAAGCCACGCACTGGTCCTCTTAAATGCCGAAGAACAGATTCGAGATGCTGCACGGCAGAAGATCCTTCTCACCATGAGGGAGGAAGAAACAGGCAACGGTAGACCGGATGCGCTGCTGGGGAGCTGTTGTGAGCCGTCGGAAGAGCATGGGTCTTGCCGCCACGCCTTGCCTTTCTCAAGCTCTTACAGATTGCATAGGAAAGGAGCGGACGTAACTCGAGCCCCGACCAGGGCGCCCCTAGCGGCAAACGGATCATTTTCATCGGTGGGTCCTCTATACCCACTGCACCCTGATTACATTCGCTCGAATGTTCCGCCACGGAAAAGGCTCGCGGAATTCCTAAGAATCTTACATCCCGCCGTAATATTGACGGGCTCACTAGGCCCGTGCATTTCGTCACAATTGCTACTCGACGAGTACGCGGCGACAACCGCTAGGTGGCAGCGAACAATTAGGGAGCCTGTATTACAGAGAATAGCCATCAACTCAATCGGGATCACGTGGTTTATGGGCTGCGTCTGCATTGCGAGCTACAGGCGACGAGCGCGTTGGTCGTTCGCAAGCGTCTCCGCCTCTCCGCCTGCTTTCCTTCTAACCACGCGATAATCCAGCGCATGCGCACTTGCGACCAATCTCCGATGGAGGCGTCCGCCATTATACTGCCAACGCTCCCCATGGTGTGAGTGTGACCCTCTCTGCAATCTAGGCTCTCTACGAACAATAGTCGAGCAAACTCGACGCCGCAAACAACTCCCTGTAAGTTTTTTTTTTTTTTTTTTTGTAGCTGGTTGTTTGAAAGCACACCGCAGATTGTTAGTGCGAACGGCTTCCTTGAAAACATACAGCTGTCTAAATGTCGATAGACGCAAGCCGCTTAGAGGCTGGAATCAATAGGACTGTATTGGATTATTTTCGACTGAACCCTACCTATTGGGTGATTAGTAAAAAAACAAAACAAATATAACTTGCATTGCTGCAGCAAACTGATTAAAGAAACAACTCAGTCTCAATGTTGGTTTGTTTTCATCAAAGCGCCGTTTATTAACGAGCCAGCGTTTCCCCACACTAGGTGTAAACGCTGCGCGGGCGTAGAAACCAAATTCGTTAGAAGTTAACCGTCTGCGCACGCGTCGTGCCGACAGCAGCGCCACCGCTGACGTGTGACCTCAGAGCCGCGCGCTGGTGTATCTATCTATAGTAATATGTGTTCCTATCGTCTTTTTGTAATGTATTTAGCGACGAATACGAAAATGTGGAGCCTGAACGAAGGTTCCCCGAACATTTCGCAGGGCATGATCGCCTTCAGGGTGGGCAAGACCTACACCAACTGGAGCGAGGTATACTCCAAGGTAGCGGCTCACAAGAGCAACCTGGGTCTGCCCGAAGTCTTTGTGGGCGACATTTCGTTCGAGGATATCTTAGTCGGCCTGGCGAGGTGCCAGATCCTCACCATGATGATACGTGCCAACACCATAAGCACCGCGCCTTCTTAATCTGGATCGCCACGCAGTATGCGCAGCATGTTTACAAGCAAATAAAATCGGATTCTGAATGGAGGCTGAATCTACCTCGTAGACACTCTTTATCAAATTTTAGAATCATGTATCCTGTCACATAGCACGGTACCAGAACCTATCAACTCTCGCGACCGTGTAGGGACAAAATGTTTTATTTTTACACTTTCGGCCTGCACAATTTGCCTGATTTTTGTGTAACTTAGGGTGTCTTCATGTGCGCTTTGCTTGGGGTGATGACATCTGTCCATTTTGTTTCGAGCGGTTATTTTTATTTTTTGTTCTGAAGCACGTGAACGAGCGTGTCCCTCCTGCACACGCTCGTGGCGCTGACTGTGCTACGGCGACATTTTGTTTCCTGCGATTTCTTTGTATTTTCCCTATGAGCTCGTGCTGTCGGCATCGGGTACTACAAACGATGGCATCACCCTAAACCACGGTGCCCTAAACAGAAGGACATTGAGGCATTCTAGTGTAACTGTTTCTCGTTATATGCGTAAAGTCTTCCAAAAAAAACATGGGATGTAAGGGACATGAATGTACAAAGATCAAGAATGGCACGGATGTGTTCATATTGTATCCTTTGTTTTCTATAGTGTTCAGAGTGACGCATTTGCTCGACTCCACCTATGATACAATGATGCTTTTGGACCGCTCAGGGGGTTAGAGTGCCATCGATCGACCTGCGGATAGTCATGTTCGAGCGGTCTGAACTAGCTCCTATCATAAGGGCCGCCCACACTAGCGAGAAAACGCGCGTGGCACGCCGATCGCGGCAAGTAACAAAATGTCGCCGAAGCACAGTCAGCGCCACGAGCGCGTGCAGAGACACGCCCTTTATCTTCCCGCTTAACCGATTTATCGGCGCGCCGGGCGCGTTTTCTCGCTAGTGTGGGCGGCCCTTTAGTCAGCCGAGTGCAGCTTCAGCCGTGGTAAGTAGTGGTAAGGAGAAATTAGCGCCACAAGGCGCTAGTGGCAGAAAGGCGAACATACGTATGGTGCCAGACGAAAATAATTTGAGAAAGACGGCCAGATGGCGCCAGCACTGTTGTTAGCGTGCGCCCTCCTCGCCTACTCCTCCTCCTGTCTCCTTTTCGTTTTGTTTGTTGGATTGGTGCCGTCTGCTCGACCGGTGGCGTGCTGGCTGCTCGCCAGCACGGCACCAGTCGAGTGGGCGAACAAATGCGCTTCACGTGATATTACCAGCGCAATAAATCAATAAAACAAAGAGCGCGTTCATTGAAATGCATTTTTTTAATGAAAACCACTGAAGTGAGTTGTGGAGGACGCTGTGGACGCAGTCTTCGCCTCCACTTTGTGAGCAGCATTTGAATATCGTCACCGCAAAGCTCGATGACGCATTCCCGGGGATCGTACTGTTTCCATTGTCCCCACAGCTCCGTCATCAAATTTCGCGAAGGAGCAAAACGCTGCATGCTTTGGAAGGAGAGACTGAAAGAAAAGCTCGGCTTTCATCTTTTGAATTCCGCCGCGACGAAGACGCTTCTTGGTCAGTGGTGTTGCGTTTGAGTATTCTTGGGTACCACTAGTGCCAGGAAGCTGGTGTAAAGTAAGATATATTCCTACCCAATGTCGTTGCACAACCCCTTAAATCCTGAATGTCTTCTATTTGCGTGGCGACGGCAAAACAATGTTTTCGCCGATACTGAAAGTGACAAAATTCAAGATGGCGGCACCCTTATGAAAAAGGGCGTATACGATGGCCTTCGTGCTGACGCAACAGATGTTTCCGAAGCGACTATAACCCAAAAGCAACACAACACGATGATACGAAACTCTTGCATTGTCGTTTTATCTCAATATTCCTCGGGTCGGTTCTCTATCGACTAAATGGCCGTGACGCGTTCCTAGAGGCCCAGAACCGCCGGCCTGGGCGTAGTACTCCGCAAGGCGGCGACGCTGGCCTCTCTGTGCGTGAAGCTAAGGTAGATATGTTCCAGCGACGTATCCGTGATGTAGAAGTCCTGCAGCTTGAACGTCTTCTTGATCTTGGCCATCCTGCTGAACATCTCGCTCCACAGAAAGCTCACGTGGGTCATGCGAAATTCCAGGAGACCCTGCGGCAGGAAAGGTATAAACGAGGCATCGACGACAACGTCCTTTCCCAAAACATAAATAGATAATAGGGACCTTTAGCAAACCATTACCGTGTTCCGCGTACTGCACTACCGAAGCCTTTAAAGCATACCGCCCCTGTGATACCGGGACGGCGGGGCGCGCGCTTAACAGCATGCTTCAAACACACCGGTATAGCGCGTTACGTGGAACACGGTAATGGTTTGCTAAAAGTCCCCAAAATGGAAACGACTTCGATCTTTAAAGTCGTGTAATGCACGTAATGCTGTATTTAAATTGCGATCGTTACATTTGTTTAGAAAATATTAAACTGCCGTGTCGGCGAGAAAAGAACATATAGTTTGTGGGAGCGAGAGTTTGCCACCACGGCCAGAGGCCGCTGCCGGCCGCCCAAACTGGAGAACATCTGAGGGGCGCAACGGCGCACGTAGGACAGGCGCAGAAGCCTACAAAAGATGGCCCACAGAAGAGAGGAGACGGACTGTGGTCACGGAGGCGTGCAGTTCGAACGCTCCACCGGCGATGTCATACGATGTGACTTTAATAAATGTAGTTTCTCGTTTCGGAAGCCCCGGCTTCGTGTTGTTCCTCGCGGATGGGCATGCAGCAAGGCAACCCAACCTCAAGTTCACCAAATATCCTGTTAAATTTTTAATGGAAATTTCCGTGGTAAATTTATTAGAAAAATTGAATACATCCGTAAGTCACGTGACGTCAATTTTCTGGCAAAATTTAACCCTAGATAATGGATTGGTGTAAAGGTCACATAACATGAATTTCCTCGCCACATTTAGCCGGGTCATGGACGGACGAGCAAATATTTGTGCTTAAAAAGCTCTGTGAAAAAAAAAAAAAAAAACACTGCATGCTTTTAAATTTTATTTTATTGATGACTGAAAGCTCGTGTGCTCAAGCCTACGTTCGCGTCTTTGTGTTTCAACCAGCAAGCACAGGGATATTAGGCGCGTCCGCGACTTTGCTAGGCAACGTGCCCCTGGAGGCTCGAGTTAGGAGACCTCCTGCAGTTCGCAAAACGTTTTAGAGCGCAGCTCTTAGGCTCCTGTTTCCGGCTTGAGCGGCGTCGCTGTCGGCGTAACCAAGGTCACCCCAAGGTCACGTGACCCCCGAAGGTCACCCCAAAATCACATGACCCCTCCCAAGATCACCCAAGGTCACGTGTCCCCCAAGGTGACCCCCACGTGACTTCCACGTGACCCCTATCTGGTATGCAAGGCAATAAAATATCTGGTATCGGGTATGCAAGGCAATAAAATAAAACGTTTCAACCTGGAATATACGAGAACATATAAGTGAAGCAAAACAAGAGTGTCACTATCACGGATTTTTCCGGAACACCTTCCAGCGGCGTGAGAAGAGATCAAAACACTGATTTGACGCATAGCAGAAGTGACGAGAGATGGCTGCGCCGTTGAGAAAGAACTGTATACTTGAAAATTTTACGCGGTATAATATTTCGTTAAGTTTGAAATAAGAAGACACTACGTCGTAAAGTTCGATCGGCATAACAGGTTCAAATATACTATTCCAAAACTCGAAACGCCTCATCGCGGCAAACTGCCACGCTGTACATTGTGGGACTCAGTGCAAATCAAAATTCATACGCGCCCCGCTCCTGGCCCACAAGTTCCCAGAATGCAGCGCGCGCGGTGACAGATTAATGGAACTAGTGTTTGGCGAATGCCTATAGATGCGCGCCTTTCTAAAAAGGCACGATGTTTATCGCCTCATTCTTTCAGGGTTCTCACCTGACGGGACCATGAAATTATTTTTGAAATTCTTTCTCCTTCGCTTTCATTCTCAACTCAAAAGCGAAATAAGAAATGACGTGGTCGTGACGTGCTTGGGCGCCGGATGAGAGGAGTCTTAGCTTCCACTGTACTTTTTAAGCGCGCCATGGAACTTGTCATTCGCGAGTGATGATTAGTGTCTTTACGGCACTCGTTGACCACGAACGCGAATCCAAATATTCGTCAACGAATTGATTGTTGACAAGCGCACACGTCCAAGAGACGCAGTTTCCCTGTATAACACGTGAGCTGGGGTTCGGCTGATGTGCTTGGACACCGCGGATGCGTCACAGTGAAAAGGCGGAGAACTTTTGAAGGAAAGAAGGTCATATATATCCTTCTCTATTTCACATTTTCGCCCCGAAAAGCGCGGTTTCGGATTTCCCCCTTCGTGTACTAGCTTTGTCCCCCTAGACTTAGCAAAATCCCCATTCGAAATATTTTTACTCCAGACCAAAATCATTTCATGGTCCCATTAATCTACGTGCTTTAAGGATCCCATTGACCTCGATAATATTTGCGAGTCTTTTTGATTGTGTATAAATACTCCAGGCGTTATCAAAGTTCGTATATTGTGGACGAGTGCTCTTGCTTCGGTAGGAAAAACACGTTCCAAAACATACTTCAGCCAAGGCCGACGAGAGTTTGAGGAGGAAAAAAAAGAAAGAAATTGTGATGAAATATGTTTGGTCCGCACCTAATGCGTTTAAACCGGTTTGTTGATCCCTCCAATGTCTCAGAAAGTCCGCTCGCTCATGCTTTCAAAATCACACACAAAAAAGCAAAAAAAAAAAAAAAAAAAAAGTAGATAAGTTTTTTAGTGCATATTTATTAACGGTGTATTCTCGGCGTCCACTATGTTGCGCTACGTTGCCAAGGATACCGTGGCTTCCGCGGTGGTCTACACCTGTCAAAAGGGAGTTTTCGTACACCGCTTAGCGTTCCGTAACGAAGAAGTTGCTACTGCGCCTGCGCGCCGATAGCCTTGACGGTGGAGTTCCCGCCATCGTAGCGGGTTGCGGAGGGCCTTGCGGGACGGCGAAAACGATCTACGAAAACTCCCTAAAGATAGTTGC